TATATTATATTATATTATATTATATTATATACGCTGAAAGGCGTTTTACCACATGATAAATGAAGTTTTATGATAGGCAGAAAGAGTCAAACGTGCAACTGACTTACATGTAAATCTGACCTCCTCTTGCAGAAAAGTATTCAGTTGATTTGGGCTATTTTTCCACTATTTTTATCTTGCATGTGAGTTGCCTAGACTCTTTTTACTTGATTTTCCAAAATACAAAGCATCTTGTGCTGACTCACAGTTTTCCAACCCATAGTATACCTATGGTATATTCTGTGTTACAAACTGAAAGATCTCGTGAAGGAAGCTCTGTAAAAGAGGATGGTTGCAGATGGGGGTGTATCACCTTATGTATTGCTGAGTGTTTTGTTAATTTTGAGTAAGCTGCAGGCCTTTAAACTAATCCCTTTGCTGGGTTTGCATCAGGGAGGAGGAAGTTTGGCTTCTCGTCACCCTGAGATGTGTAAACACCCTTAAAAGTTTTCCTAGAAAGTGTATAACTCTATCAAGGTTTACCAATGTGATAAACTAAAGCAAACTGCTACTGAAAGTGAGTTCCAGAAGCACAGTTTATTGTATATAAAAATAACTCCGAGGAGCACCGGGCTGGGGGTATTGCACAGCATCGTGGAAAGCACACGGCTGCTTTTGAGAAGAACAGCTGTAGCTGGCAGGGCACGCGCAGCAGCAGTGGGGCTACTCCCCAGGTACACTGGGCAACTTATTTTAAGGAATTGGACCGTGAAGGCTCTTCCCATGGGAAGTGAGGAGGAGGAAGAGCTAATTGTTTGTCAGTGATCCCCTTTGCGCTGTGCAGTGATTTTGCTCCAGGTTCTGTTAGAACAGAGGTGCTGAAGGAGATGAGGTCCTGATCCAGTGCCACTATTTCCTTGTTTGCCACATGTTACTTGTTGGTGAAGCTTAACCTTCTCTTCCCAGCACGTCCCAAGACACGACAGGGTTTGTCTCCAAGGCCAGTTGTGTGTTCCCCTTGATGTGTGGAAGCCAGCTCTCCTCTGGCAGTGGCACGGTTAAGATGGCAGTGTTCCCGGCCACTGAGCTCTGTCCTGCTGCACTCACCAGCCCAGGCATCGAGCCATGCAAACGTGACTTGGATGCTGCCCAGCCAGCTTGGGGCATGGCAGAGAAAATCCCAGATTGTTTGGGTCTGTCAGGATACCATACTCCTCCTCTTTGACTTCATACACAAAGCAGGAAGGCTAATGACCCAGAAACAATGTTCTCCACCCAGAGCTCCCTGGTAAAGATAATGAAAAGCTACTGTAGTCCTCAGCAGCAGTAAAATTCAGTAGCCCAAACTTTGAGGCTGAGGCTGTAACTACTAGTAATAGCATCTGCTGTGTCACTGCATTGTGAACGAGTATCAGTTATCTCCTGGGGTGACCTGAAATAGAGGGGCATACATGAGGAGTAGTCAGCCCCTCTCTAGCCACATGTCTAGCAGAGACAAATTAAATGTCTAAAAGTGACAGATAAGCAGAGTTTCCTTGCAAGGTCTGAATGAGAGTGGGATGGACAGTGGCAAAGTCATGCAATGGCATCAGAAATTAAGTACGACCACTGTAGCTGCAGGACCATCCAGCAGTGGTGGGCTCATAGGGCTGTGCCTCAGCAAGGCTAGCAACAGCTCCGGAGTTACCTGATTGTGTTAATGCTAAATAGGATATTTCTCATTTTTTAAAAAATGTTTTATTCTTTGAATTCAAGAGCAACTTGAAAGATAAAAAGCATCAACGCTGTTTAATCGTCATCTTGCTGTTTCTGAAGTCAGCACTTCAGAGGTGAATGAATCTGGCAGATGCTGGATTTGCCTTACATAGTGATTTCTGTGCTTAATAGAGATGTAAAAGAGGTTCATGGCAACCTCAGGAAGAAGAGAAACGTGTCTGATCCTGTTATTCTGCTCCTTTCAGGATGATAATCTCTGTTGGTTATTTTGGACTTTCTCTTGACACACCGAACTTGCATGGAGACGTCTATGTGAACTGCTTCCTCTCGGCAGTGATTGAGGTTCCAGCCTACATTATTTCCTGGCTGCTGCTTCGAAATCTCCCTCGACGGTATTCAATGGCTGCTGCGTTATTCTTGGGAGGCTGTGTTCTGCTCTTCATTCAGCTGGTGCCTTCACGTATGGAATCGTTAGTTGATCTCAAATATGCATGATAGGTGAAGTGCAGTGCCACGCACCGGGCAGATGTGAAGGAAGAGTGGTCTGAGCAGGCTAAATATGGATACTCATTCTCTGTCTTTGCCCCTGTTCCTTGGTTCTCAGTGCTGCTGCACAGGGAGCTCACACAACGTGTCAATTCACATACATATTTAAATGTGGGTCGTTGGGTTTGTGGTCTGTTGAGATCAGCTCTGTAGTCCAGTTTTGCCTTAATGTACATCCCTGGTGAGGTGCCCTGGTAAGGTCCAAGTGTAAAACCAGGACTAGACCCACCAGAATTTGCTAAGGGGAGGTTACCCAGGCGCTGCAGAACTTACATCCCAAACTACTGTAAATGACTGTCTCTTTGTGGCTTGTTTAAAGAGTTACATTCGTGGAAGTCATTGCGGAAGCATTTTTGATAAGCAAAGATTCTTGTACTGAATTACTGTTGGCAGTTAAAATAATGTTTGGCAACTGGAAAGGAGGACAAAATAACATTGGATATCAAACCATATATATCTTTAGGCCGGTTATATTACCATCATCTTACTGGTAATGATGTTGAATATGATGAGGGGGTGTTGTTGCTTAGCACTTGTTTACATATCAAAGAGTAAACAAAAGAGAATGCACAAGAAGTGCCTTGCTTAATTAATACAGGTAATACATGTTGCATTCTCTTTCTCTAATCCATTGAGTCAATTAGACACTGATACGATCTAGTTTCATTTTCAAGTCTAACTGTCCCAGTTGAAAGTCAGCCTGGCTTTCTATAATTAATTTATTGACTTGCAGTTAGGAATTTTAATGAGAAACCAGGGCAGGAAACCAAAAATGTTTAACCTTGTTCACCTTAATAAAAAGGGATATATGGTATTGTTTGCAACAGTAGAGATCTGGCCCCTGAAATCTGAGAGCATCTCTCTAGTTCTTGCCTTGTTCTCCTTTTATTTTACTTAGTAAGAAGCCCCATGCTCAAAAGGAAATGAAAATGTTGAGTCCTAGCAATTTTAAAAAAGAGAAAAAGTTGCTTATGCTTGTAGACACGTACAGAGATAAAAAGACACCAGATGCTGGAATGAATTAGACAGGAGTTATGCAAACACAGTAGAATTAAGAGATACCATGAATTGTCAGAGCTTTATTGAAATCCTTATTGTGTTTTGATTTCAGATATTCGTGCATTATCTATTCTGCTGGTGATGTTAGGGAAATTTGGGATCACATCTGCCTTTTCAATGGTTTATGTTTACACGGCTGAGCTCTACCCAACAGTAGTGAGAAACATGGGAGTTGGAGCAAGTTCCATGGCCTCTAGACTGGGCAGCATCCTCTCGCCATACTTCGTTTACCTCGGTGAGTTAACTGGTCTGTGCCTGCACTGGGGAGCTGCTGGTGGTGGAAGGCAATGCTTCTACCCAGGTCAGCATCCTGCCTCTGCGGGTTGTTGGGTTTTTCTGCTGTTCTTCATTCCCAAATCCAGTTGTCTTGTGAAGCTGCAGGTAAAAATAGGTCTCTGAACAATGGTCATAACAGAGAGAAATGTTGTGCCCTGTTGAAAAATGCTTTGAAGACTCATCATCCTATTGACTCAATAGGACAGCTCTTAGAGCTATTGTTTCCCAGTCTCTTGAGTTCCTAAAACCACATTAAATACAATCTATGCTTTGAATGCCAGACTGGGAGGGGCTTTGGTTTGTTTGGTTTTTACTGAAAGCGTAAATCTTGCACAGATAAAGCCCTGTACCTAGGTGCAGACATTATTGGAGGCTTAGAGCTTATGCTAGCTTTGTTTGTTGTTGGTTTTGTTTTCTGCTAGGTGCCTATGATCGATTCCTGCCTTACATCCTGATGGGGAGCCTGACTGTGCTGTCAGGAATTCTGACTTTATTTCTGCCAGAAAGCTATGGTATGCCCCTTCCGGACACGATTGAGCAAATGCTGCTGGTGAAAGGGTGAGTGTCACCTTCTGATCGTAACACCTCTGTCCTGGGAAGGGGAGCGGACCTGCCTCGGTGTTGTCAGGGGGAGGGACTGGTTTCCATAGTTCAGTTAGTGCTCTCTTGAAGGGGGAAGAACTTGGCTGGAATCCTCGTCCTGCTTCCCAACTGTATGTACATCATTAGGCTCCAAATTTATCATTTTACGCTGAGGACTGAATAAAAGTACCTGCGAGGAATGCGTTTGTAAAAGTGTGGGGCTTTATGTAGTTGCTTTTAAAGGTCTGGGGACACTTTGTGGGTTATAATCTATCTTTCTGGGTTCTGAAAGTCATGTAAGTTCTGAAAGTCATGTTTTTAAAGTTATTTTCTTTTCTTTTCTTTTTTCCCCATAGGTTAGAATACAGGGCTGCATCTAGTAGCACAAGGGATTCCAAGGAGGAAGAAGAAAATCCAGAGATTTTTAAAAGCACAGCTTTTTGATGGAGCTCCTGTGTACTTCCTAGCGGACTGAAATGGACTTTTCTTCTAATATTCATTCTAGAAAGGGCTAGTGTCAACACTTTGTTTCCTGTCATTTTAACCTTATTTATTAATTTAAACACTGTGTTCTATACATTCTCTTTTTATATGACCATAAATACTGTATAAGCCTTCAATGACATTTTTTCAGCCGCGGTTGTTTTAGTGCAGTAGTACCAAGGAACAGTGTCTGATCAATCCGTGTGACTTTAAGCATATAGTTCAGCTGAAAGATACTTGAAAATGAATTCAAGGGCTGGCAGGGTACCTGGATTCCTCAGTGAACCTTCTCCAGAGCTAACGCACATCAAGAAGTAAAAATTGCCAGAAAAAGCTGCTAATTGGTTTTGATTCCTTGACTTCTGTCTCTGAACAGAAAACTTATTTATTATAGTGAAGGTTATGAGAGCACGCCTGTCCGTGGTCTTACTCAGATGACTTTGCACGTGCTGAATTTGTTCCCAAATTCAGAAAGATGCAAAGACAGATTTCGAGAATTAATTCTAAGTCAGCAGAGGTTGAAAGGATTGTCTTGCACAAAATGTTTGTAGCACTGAAGTTTTGCTCACAAAATTCACTTTATTCCAATGCTGGTTTTCAACTGTGCCTGTATGGCGAAGCTGTTTACGTCTGACCCTGGCTGTGGCCTGTTTCCAGGCTGTATTTATTTTAAATCATGCAAAAAGTTTCATCTGCCTGTGGAGGGCGCGGTGTTAGATTGTGGTTCTGCCCCTTTGATGTGTGGTGGAAGTTTTCTGTCTAAATTGTTTTAACGTCTTCTGTGCAATTTGGGTGACGGAAGCAATTCTCCTTTGTTCTGTGCTTCTCACACGCGTGCACACACGCACGCCATTAAATCATTTAGAGATAAATTTTTGTGTTAAATCTAGGCCACTGCTTTGACCTCATGGTGGAACGTACTGAGAACAAAATTCAGAATGTATTTCTGACCGCTGGTTCTCAATTCTCAGGTGCCAACCGTACGATTGCTGCGAGGTCTGTTATTTCACTTAACTCGTGTCATCAGTGAATCATTCTCAAATTGTTCAAAAAGACAAAAACAAAAACAAAAAATCAAAAACCAGATCTTGTTGAGAGCCAAGAAGCTGTTTCTGAGGTCGTGGAAGCACCTTTGGCATTACCTGTGTTTCTTTGAATATTACAGTATATACGCTCAGTCTCGTTTGCGCTATTCTGATTATACTTTGACAGATGTGAGTGGGGAAAGGTTTCTCTCTTGTGGCACTTGTTTGTGTTTTGTTCTGTCTTGTAGAGACTTAATAAACAGAACCTAAACCTTTGTGGCCAAAGCTGCTATGGGCCTTGCTCCCCGCTGCAGCAGCTGGTCCTGGAAGTTTTGCATTTTCCTACTGTATTTAAATACATCAGTGTGGCTGATTCCAGTCTTTCATTAACCAGTACCCCATATTCTGTCCCCAGTAACCGGCTCCAGTGGTCAGCCTGGTGTGTGCCCTCCAGATGCTCGTCATAGAAACAAGAAAGTAGAAAACACCGTATAGACTGCAGCGTTTTTGTTTTGTTTAAACTCTTCCTACCAGTGTCTTGATCATTGGGGTTTGCTCTGCTTTCCCTGTGTTTTCTCACCTGCTTGTTTAGTATTTGATTTCTGGATGCAGCAGGAGGTTGGCTGATGTTACTGGGTCAGAGAATGATACTGAGGAACATAGTTTTGTCACAGAATCACAGAACGTCAGGGATTGGAAGGGACCTCAAAGGATCATCTAGTCCAATCCCCCTGCCTGAGCAGGACCACCTAGATCAGATCACCTGTCGGTTCTTCCCAGGTGAGAAATCAGAACGTTTGGGCAGGTTGCCAGGCCCTTGGCAGGTGGGGTTAAAGTGCAGCGTGTGATTTGAAGCTAGTGCAGAAGTTTGGGAACGTGGATTTTGCACATCACAGAATAGCCTTGACATGAGCAAATACATGTCAGGAGAGTGCATGTAACAGCCGCTCTCCCTGCCCAAAAGACGTGATACAATTTGTCAGGCTTACCACCTTTTTCAAAATATTCATTGCAAACATAAGGGTATGTGCCAAAACTTGGTAGAGATGTTTTTCTTTGTAACCATCGTTTCTAGGAACTGGAGTGTTTAGAAGAAGCCCCTTTTCCATGTGTTGTAGAAGAATTATCTGATAACGCAGGAATCTGAGGCAGAACACATTTAGCTGCAACTTCCTTGTGATGAATTTGCCAATGTAAACGACTGCGTCGCGTAAGTCTCTTCCTGTAAACTGCTTCAGAAAACATCCTTAAATGTAAGATAAGTGTGGAAATTCCTGTCCTAAGCTGCAGAGTCCACTGAATGTCTGATTTAGCTGTAATTTCTTATCCCCCTGTTTTATCCAGGTATGTGCCGTGACAGTGAGACTTTTGTTGAATATTTAAATGTTCTGATGTTTACTAAAGTTTTTTGTAGTTTTTTTTGGTTATTTTTTTTAATCCAGACAAATTAGGGAATTTCCTGGTTATGACTAATACAACAAAACACAATGACAATCTCTTTGTGTCGAAAAAAGAATACTTTTTTTTTTTTCCTTGCTTATCTCTTTATAAAGTATGAGTCAGAAGCTTTAGACTATATTTAATATGGCATGCTGGCTTGTTTTGTATTTACTTTTTTATCCTGCTCTTTTCAAGTTTGTGTCTAAAACAAGGAACTTGTTCTAATGGGTCAGCAGAACTCAGCTAATAGGTATTTCCAAAAGAAGTTGAGGGAGTGTTTTAATCTAGGGAGGTGATCTGTGCAAATAAGATGTAGACGAAAGGACCTGATCCAGTCGTTGGCAAATCTCAGGGTGGCATCAGTGCTGGCAACGGGTAAGATTTGCGACACGGAGCGTGGCTACGGAGATAGCTGCAGAGTAAAGCACTGGTGCTGCACCATGACTTGGCTTTGAAAGGTGCCTGCTGAGCACCACGTTTTCGGAGGTGCCTGGCTCCCAGACAGCGTACGGTTTCATCCGTAGACATGGTGGCACACCACTTTGCCATACGCTGGTGCGAAGCGGGATTGGGACCGACTTTGTGAGATTCTGCTGTAAACAGAGCACTTTGTAACTGAACGGTTTCGAGATGTGTTCCGCTCAGCGCCGAGCTGTGCGTGAGTGTGGTGAAATGAGCCAAGGTCCACGTGGGAGATGTCCACCGTGAGCTGGAGAGAAACGTGAGGGATGCACGGGACAGCCTGGAATCCTAAAGTGAAGTCACACAGAGGTTGTCCCTTCTGTAAAGAGCTGATGGGTTTTAGTACCAGTGCTTGAATGCACCCGAACACACCAGTCTTGCCCAGTGTGGTTGGTGGCTGGTGGGGCAGGACCTGTGCTGCTCTCTGCGAAAGCCACTTTTGCTCCTGTTATCCTCCAAGAAGTAGTGAGTGACACTTTGTAAGGGGGAAGGGACAGAATTTGCCTTTAGAAAGGGGTTGTGGTAAACCTCCTCGAGGAGCTCTGTGTGCTGGGGAGGAAGGCAGTGCAGACTTTGGCGTTCAGGGTGACCTTAACCTGGGAACTACCACGTGGTTTTGGTGCAATACAGCAGCAGTACAGGTGGTACAGAATTACCTGGTCAGGCAAAATGCTCTGTTGCTGGAGAACAAGGCACACTGCAGTATCTTCACCGAGGAAAGTAGGGGAAGGGCTCTTTATATTAGTGATGG